ACCAGACCGCTCAACATGGCTTGTCAGTCAAAGGGGGGAGGAAAAAAACACAAACAAAAACACGAAACAGTATCCTCTTCAACGGTACAATCAATCTACAAACAAGTTTTTAGAATTATTTTACAACATTTCCTGTAGAATCAATTCTTAATACAAAAGATGCCCATTTTGGGTGTATATATATTTTCAGTGGTTTACTGTTGACTTATTTTAAATATATTAGTGTTACTACATGCAACTGCTTCCTGTAATTTAACAGCCTTTCCTTTTATTTACCTTCATATACGTCTACCCTCCATCTACCGAATAATTTGTCTGACAGTCAAAGATGGTCACCCTAGTAACTGCTAAATTAAATGCAATAGTTTTAAACACTGGCCTGAAGAGGTCTGATTGCCATTTCAACACATGGATATAGTTACATTGATGCCTAAATTGCCATTTTCTGCAAAGAGCTGTGCAATGCTGGTGTCAAAGACTAGACAGTCACTATTCATAATGGCTGTTGCAATTCCCTCATGAATAGATCGAGGAGTCGCTTCCCAAGTCAATCGCCGCCTGTGACCATTTAACTCAAGTCGATAAGCAAAGTTTTCTGCTTGCTTGCGTGTTCCTATCAGCTGTACAATTGCAAAGAACTGCTGGTGACCATCATACTTCTCCTGCTTCTCCAACACTAACATGAAATGAAAGCCAAAACAAGACTGCATCATAACCCAGTCCACAGCCCCAGGAAGGTTAATGTCTGTAGCAAGGAACACGATATCTTCTCCCTGAAGTGTGGTGATTGACTTGTGTTGGTGCATCAGGTGGGGCATCACAGCATCCAGAGAACCTTGCCATTTGCAAGAAGCACCGGGACACGGACAGGAGTAAGGCCTGAACTCACACAGCTCCTCGTGGTCTGCTTTTTCTGTGTGCGGCAGAGTTATCTCACATCCGGAAGAGGCGTATTTACATGGGAATAGTACAGAATTGGCAACTTTCTCCATAGCCAGGTTACGAATGGAGCCCAGCGGGCCTCGGCAAGTTGGACAGCACGTAAGTTTGGGGCGACAGTTGCTACAAACGAGATGGCCACTCTGGCATTGAAGAATCGGTGGCAGCACATAGTCAAAGCACACAGGACACTCAAAGAGACTGGCCAAGTCATTGTTGGAAGCGGTAGTGCCGGTCAGTGCAGGCACCCTCTGCGACGGCGTACACTTGGAAGTACCTGTAGGTAGTGCTGTAGCAGTCTGACGGCTCATTTCTGTAACAGAAGAGAGAGAAAAGAATCAGTATCTCAACACATTCCAGTTTCCTCTGCATGCAGTATTTCTTCATTTAGAAAGAAATTTCAAAATAAAACATACAAATGAAAGCAAAACAACCACGTAACGCAAACTGTGGACAGGTTACGTGTCGGCTGTCAGTTGTGCTGCACGCAATACAGACACTGGCATGACACGCAAATTTAACAAGCGAAGAAGTTCTGCTAATTATTCTGAAGTGGAATTTACCTACTGGAAGCTGCAAGGGAGATGAGTAAAGACATGCTAGAAATGTAACTGAAATCCTCAAAGAAGTTTGGTGGTGGTGGTTTCTTTTTTATTTATTTATTTTTTTTTTTAAATACTGCATTTACAAAATACTCCACCCAGATCACTTGCGTGTAACAACTAGGAGCACTACAGAACAATTCTAAGGCTGAAGTTGTGTATTTAGTGAGATAAGAAACTAGCCATTTTTCATAAAAAAATGATTACTTCTCGGTAATCATGTTTACTGTATAATATTTTTTTTTAAATGAGAAACAGTAGCAAGAAAAAAACATAGCTAAGCAGCTACACTGCCTTTTTCCCAGGCCAGGACAGTGACTCATTTTCATTGCTCTGTTACTAAGGCCCACAGCTTGTAAAGCACATCCATTGCTTCAGCTTCCTGAATTAATCCATTTCTGAAGAGATGAGAAAAGAAAAACAAAGCAATTATTTTATTCAATTTCCCAAATAAGAGAAGAAATTCAGAAGATTAAATGTGAGAATTAATTTTAACATGTAAGTGCTCAAACATTTCTGGTAACTTGAAAAGGCGCTGCTGCTGAAGTTTACCCCGAAGCCCTGCTCTTTCAGACGTGCCCAGACCAAAGCTAAAGCTGTCTGACCGAACGGCTGGCTCCAGCATTCAACAGATGCGGTAAAAGGACCATACTTCCTAACACGTTATGGATGGATGCTACACTTTTTCCCACACCCCCTAGCTCCCCTCCTTTTTGTGCAAAAGGTGTTACAAGTGCCACCAGAAAAAATAAACACTCCATTTTGAAAAAACAAACCTTGGCTTCCTAGGTTAAGGGAAGTAAAATGCTATCCAAAATTGGCTTCCATTACACAGTAAAATTCTCAACCACCTTAAGTGCTTCACTGCAAGTACAACAGCTCTGTATCTGTCACGTCTGTGTAAAGGCCTCAAAATAAACCTCATCTTTAATCTCCTTGCTATTTGACATGGGAATGTTAAGCAATAGGCAAGCCTCCCATATTTAGCATCATTTCACCCACAAACTTACTCATACTTGGACTGGATACCTCAAAGCAGCATAGTGTGCGTGCTTTTGCAAGATGTGCACTGTTCAGGGCACAAAGCGAGGGAGCTAAGAGATTCCAACATGCAAAACACCTCATCCCTTAGCATTCAAAAAGTAATCACAGAGAGCCCGTTTCAAATCCTTCTACAGAAGCACCTCTCCCCAGTCCAGAGCTAGAAACACCTGTGTGTCTAAGATTTGGTATTCAGCCACTTGATTTTACGAGTCTCACATGCCCAGTAACAGCATCACCTCACCCCATAAAGTCTCTCTCTTCACCTCAGGCTTGCTGGACTAGAAATGTCCAGTTTCCATCTTCAGGAAAAAAAAACAAACATACGGTGGTTTGCAATGCTGGGCCTTTACTGATACTGTAGAGATGACAAGAATGTTTGTATCTTTTGGCCTCATTTTCCTACTGCAAGGCATTCCAGCTGAGATGAAAAGTTTAAGGTACCTGTGACAAATCAGTGTTCTGGGCAAGTGACGCCACCCCAGCCTGCTGCGAGGAGGTTCAAACTGTAAGGCCTCTGGACAACAGAGCACTGCTGCTATATATTTTTCTCCCCAGCACCCACAGGTGGGAGGCTCATGATGGCACACTGCACTCCTATACACAGAGAACAACTGTACACAGGCGAACAAATTCTGATCACCCTGTCTGCCTGGAAAGAGCTTTGAAATCACATGCATATTGTATGTAAAATTCTAAAGTGTGTCCCTTCAAATACTGTAAACACACACATTTCAGACAAGTTTGCGTGTGCTTCATCTTACCTGAACCTATACGTCCCGATCCAGGGATCCCCAGTAACCCACAGATAACACTGGTGAAAACCACTGCGTTAGACCAGTTCCCTAGGCAGTCTGACGAGCTGGCTGAGCTCTGGTTTCTTTAATTACACCTCCCAGAGCCCATACAACAGCTAAATTAAGCAACCTACAAACTCTGCAAGAGACCTTACACACAGATGTACTTCCCACTTAAGCCTTCTAAGCTACGGAAGCGCTACAGAGAAGAGCCGCCCAGCCCTGTTTTATCACCGCTCCTGCAGGTGACCAGCCTCCACACGCACCTTCCACAACCGAGGACCATCCGCATAAGCAGGGAAGAAAAAGGAGCAGGAATCTGCAAACCAGACCATTCAGATTAGCATGCAAGAAATGGGATAAAGCTATAAACTGTAATTCACCAAGCCTAAACCTGCCCAAAGCCTACATTTTCATCACTCTTGCTAGCATAAAGATGAATAATACATCATGACAGAAAAGTCATTTTTTTTATAGCTATCTTAAGAACTACAAGTTAATCGCAAGCAGAAGTGTTAACAGTGTTAACACATTTACCCAGCAAACTATCAAAAACCATACAGCTACAATACAGAACTGGAAATAAAGTTTAAAGGTATTTTTAAGTTACAAAAACTTCACTACTGGTAAAAACCTGTACGTGCCGTATTTGTCATCACGTTATCTGTGTTCCCACACACCGGGGTAAGTCTCTAAGCAACACTGACAAACTAAGGTACACCAGGTGTCATCTTCGAAAGGATCAGTTCCTACAACACAAATTATTCAAAAGATCGTACAATTTTGAAAAAGTTGAACCAACATAAAGAGTGAAAAGGGGAAGGCATATTTTCAGATTTCCTCGTTCTAGATGGAGAACAGCTCTGCCCTAGACGACCCCAGAGCGCACCGACCTGTTGCCGACACTATGCTCAGCCCCGCCCTGGGGCAGGGGCAAACGCGCACCCTGCGACGCGGTCTCACGGCTCCCACAAACGCAGCTCACGGCTCCGCGAGGGAGGCCATTCAGAAGGCGCTACCTCTGCCCTTGGCGGCCTCGCTCCGCGGCCAGCAGGCC